ATGACTAGACTAGTTTCAAAAGCTAAAAGAACATGGGACCATTAAAGTGGGTACAGAAACTACAATATATTGTAATGAACCCATTCTATTGTAATTATGAAATTCTTTCATACGTTTTTGATGAGTTCTTTTACCCCGAATCAAAGATAAATCCCACCAAACTTTCATTTGGGGTATTCATTCAGAACCTAATTGAGAATTTTAACATATAAAGTAATTATATAGGTCCTTAGTAATAAAGATGATCTCTTAGTCCAGCACACCCACTGAGATGAAAAACTATTATGACCATGCTGCACTAAATAATGGTAAAAATCTATAACTACACCCACACACAGAATTCTGTACACACTTAATAAAAAACATATCAAACCAACATTATGTATGCAAAATCCAGTCCCCAACAGGTACTATCACTTAATCAAAAGATTGGGACCCCTCCCACTCATCTAGTTAAGTTATAACATAATACAATCCAAAAGTGAAAAGATTACAATAAATTAAACATTTTGCAATTGATCGAGTAAATCAGCAAATATTCATTCATAAACCTAAACAGTATAATCTAATCACAATCCAGTAGTCTGCTTCCCATCCTGCAACCATCAAATAGATACCCAGAAAAGAACAGTACCCACAAACCCCATAAAACAATCAAGAAATAAATAAGGGGAAAAAAGGTCTACACTTGCATAGTTGCATAAACCTATCTATATATACATTTTCTTCTTTTAGGTAAAAAAAAGAGAGGAATACATAGGAATACCATCATATCTCTCAGCTTGCTCTGCTAGTCTAGCCAAGTAAACTTGCTGCTGTCTCTCCGCCATACCCCTCTGTCTCTCTCTCTCCCTCGGTCTCTCTGACTATGATTCTCTCGCTCGCTCTCCTTTCGTTTAATGTCACTTTGATCGTTGAGAGATGCTTGGATTTTTAATTTATACCCTCAAATATTAAAAATTTTAATTTATACCTTAATATTATAAATTAATTGCAATGTGGATCTTGCCCAAACTACTGTTTAATTTTTGTCATAAATTGAAGTACATGAATTGCAACTGCTTTAATAAACTTATACATAAGTTTACAATGGCTCATGTGAGTTGCACATTATAGACTTAACATCTATTTTGATTAATAAAATCTTATTTTCAAAACATAAAATCAAATGTAAAATGATCGCAGACAAAGATCTATAGCAATGGACACACCTCATGCTCATGCCTGAAGTATATGCAATTCATTTACTTCAATTTATGATAGAAAATTGAACGACAAGTTAAGCGAAATTCATATTATTATCAATTTATAAAATTAAAGGTATAAATTAAAATTTTTAATGTTCGAGGGTGTAAATTAAAAATTAAAATATCTTTTATGGAAAGTGAGATATCAAAATAATAATAATAAAAAAAAAGAATTAAAGATTAGATTTAAAGGGCATGAAATGTTCATCTGATATAATAAATTCGAATTTAAAATTCAATCTAAAGGCGCTTACTTATCATTTGTCTCTTTTTATATTCTATTGTACCTTTTATAATTTAACTATACATAAAATTTTTGTACAATTAATTTCAGATTGTAATAGCCATGAGAAAGGGGCTATCCCACGTCGGATGACCTTTAGGGTTGTGTGTGTGTGTGTGTAAGATCCTCTACCGCTTACACTCTTAAGTGTAAGTTTCAGAGTGATTCTGTGTTAAAAAAAATAGAAAATTTGTGTGCTCGAGTCTGCCCCACGCATATGTGTGTGGGTCCCGTCTGCCATTGAAAAATGGTTCAAAAATGTGTCGTTGGAGACTGGAATTATTTCACATCGGATGACCTTGGGATTGTGTATGTGTATATAAGGTCTTCTGCCGCTTATACTCTTAAGTGTAAGTTTCAGAGTGATTCTTTGTTACAAAAAAAATAAACATGGAAAAACACCTGCATCTCGTATCGTCCAAGCGAAGCTGGGAAAGGAACCGCAACGCATCATGCATGCTTTGACCTCCTTAGATTAAACTGTTTTGGCCTAAGGTCCGTAGGTTATAAGGGAAGTCTCGAGACATTTATGCTCCGTTTGGTACGATAGAAAAATGAGAGGATGAAAAGTTGAAGAGATAAATAAAACATCATATTTGGTTTAGGAAGGAAAGTAGAAAAGATGAAAAAGTAGATGAATTAACTTTCCTTCAACTCACCAAAATCAATCCCTCCAAAATCGGAAGGAAAGCTAATTATTTGTGTTGAGATGTATCTTATTTGTCTATATATTTTATGTATACATTAATTTCATATAAAAATGCAATGATAAAATATGTATACATATTTTTAAAATATTTAAAATAAATTAAAAAATTAAAAAATTTTAAATTTTAAATTAAAAAATATATATTTTTTCCATCTTAACTAAGGATGAAAATTTTCGACTCAACACAATGACGCGACTCGAACTCGATACAAAAATAAACAAGTCAACTTGCAACTCCACACGACATAATTAATTAAATGAGTTAAGTTAGGTTTGACTAATATTCGACACAAATTCGTAATGACTCAACGCGAATCTGACACGACATGATTTGACTCGATTGCCACCCCTAATCTTAGCCAGCACAAAAAAAAAAAAATTATTATTTTTATTTTTCATCCATCCAACCAAAAACAAAGGAAGGAAAGTATATCCTTCTTATTTTCTACCTTTGAAGAATAGAAAGTTCATTCTTCATACTTTTCATCCTTCCCACTTTGCATCCTCCGTACCAAACAGAGCATTTGAGAAAAATCATGCGGAGTTTTTTCAAGATTTGAAAACTTGTTCACAGCAGTGAAATCTCGAAAGACTTTTCTTCTGTCTTTTGCATTTTAAAATAAAGGTGGCCAATTACAATAAAATTGTAATTCTTCCATATATAATTTGCATTTTATTATTACTAGTTAATCAGACATATTAAGTTTTTCAATAAATAATTAGGGATCTATCTATTATATTTATAATAAGATGATGAAAATCATTATGTGAAGTAAGATTTGACTCCCATCACTAACTTATTTCCGTTCATATTGTAGGCTTTGTTGTTGATTCACAATGTATCCTCTCGATTCCATCGTTAAGTTTTTTTTTTTTTTTTTTAAAATAATGTTATCACCCAATATTTTTTTAAGAGTATGAGAGTAAGCCATAATACAATGGTAAAATTATTTTATTATTATATGTGACGAGCTTAGATTCAAATCAAGTATGCGTTCTGTTCATAGGTTGAGTCCAAACCATCAAAAGACAGACAAAGTTTAGCTCATGACTTCAGTCTTGTCCAAAGTTCAAGAGTCCAAAAGTCAACGTACGTGAAAGAATAATTATCAGGATAACCATAACTCTAAGATAGTGTCTATCTCTAATTGTAGCTATCCTTTTAAGTAAACTTGTACCTTGACGATCGCCTCAGCACACTCCTCACCTTGAACATATTCTTATTCTCTCTCCCTCTCTCCTTCTACTTTGTATTCTCTGATTAATAGAGTTTTTCGACCACCATTGCCGCCTTCTGTGGTTATACCATTCAGACCCAATCACCTAATCTTTATTTTTTATTATTAATTGTTATACACTATATATTCAACTTATTTGGTTGTGCANTTTCTAATTGTAGCTATCCTTTTAAGTAAACTTGTACCTTGACGATCGCCTCAGCACACTCCTCACCCTGAACATATTCTTACTCTCTCTCCCTCTCTCCTTCTACTTTGTATTATCTGATTAATAGAGTTTTTCGACCACCATTGCCGCCTTCTGTGGTTAAACCATTAAGATCCAATCACCTAATTTTTATTTTTTATTATTAATTGTTATACACTATATATTCAACTTATTTGGTTGTGCATGGTTAATTTTGTGTATCATTAATGTTATGAGTTTTAGTAACATAATCATTCTCTTTACCTACGATCGTAAAATTGTAAACATATGATTTTTTTCAAAACGTGCATACATAGAAATCTCGCAGACTAATCATTTTTCTATTAAGAAAAAAAATAAGTAGACGTGAGAGATGGGACCCAACCAGTTGTTGCTTCACCCACCAAGTGGCTAAAAGGTCCCCCGGATATGGATTGCCAATTTCTTTCCACGATCACGCAAAAAAGCAGCGAAATGGTCCCAAAAATCATATGCTTCACCTACTCTCCTAACTCTAAACAATGGAGACATCATTTTTGCTGCATGTGATGTGGGCGCCATTGCCATGAATCACTTGTCACACTTCAACCAGCTAGCTAATAACTCAATTTGCCTGCACTTGACCTTATACCATTGATCAATAATTTCATGAAATTTATATTTTGATTTATAAATTAGTTGGTCGTATCAAAAATAATATGTTGATATTACCACTTGGGCGGTCAAGGTGGTACCCAAATTGTTTTCTCAAAGAAAATATTATAGATTTGATCGTGACATTTACAAGTAATATTTGTATTAATAACAATCATAATAAATCAATGTGTAAGATTTCTTATATTTAATCAGATTGAGAAAATTAGTCAACGTGTGCGTAAACTGATCCGAACATCCCTAACCAGTGAATTAAAAGAAAATCAGTGTGCATGATTTCACCATGACCCCCCCCCCCCCCCCC